TTAATAAAGTTCCTCTTTATTATAACATCTCTAAGTTTATTACGCGAGTTCGAAAGTGCGCGAGAGTCTCGAGTGCGTGTCGCGAGTGCCGCTTTGCGACGAGCGTAACAATATTATTACATATTATTACGTTACATAACATCACAGTATTATAATGCATTATAAGAAATAATTATAAATTATATCACATTTCTTAAAAAAAAATGAAAATTATAAAATTTATAGTTAAAAGATAATTATAAAATTTAATTATTTTAAACAAAAAATAATTATATCCACGCAATGTAAAGAATTTTTTTTAGCTTTGGCTTATATTTAAAGTTTTTATGCATTATCTTTATTATCATAACCAGCCATAAGATTTAAGGCTTCTTCGAATAGATCATCATCATTACTGGAATTAGATTGACTGTTTGCCAACATATTGTGAATCATGCAGATTACTATACATATTTGATGTAAATAATTCCATCATCTTTTGAGAGGGTTTTAATGTATTACAACACTTGTTGCTTACTTGTACCCAAATTTTTATTCGTACAAGTGCTTCTAGCATTTTGAAAGAGATCGAATTACGAGATTTAGTTTTTACTGTATTCATAATTGAAAACACTCTTCACCCTTCTATTTTCAACGACAGCATTACTGAAAAGCAATGTAAGTATTCGTAAAGCGAATTCCGCTAAATCTTTAAAGACAAGTTTTTCTTCAGCATGACGATAATTAAGAACTCCATTCCAAAATTCAATAGAATTATTAGGCACTTTTCCGTTAAAATATTGTGTCCAAGATATTACTGGACATTTCTTCCATTGAGATTCAAGATTGTCAAGATCTACACTTTCTCCTGCAAAATAAAAATTTTATTTTACTTAAGATATACAATATGTTCTATGATTTTCAGTTTAAATTTAAATTTAAAATCAAACTTACTTATCATATTTCGAGGAAGTTGTGTAAATTTTGGCTGAATTGATAAATTTATACACAAGTGAGGTGAAAAGTATTTCACGGCCTCGATTAAGTTTAAATTAGCAGGAAATCGTTTTACTAGTTCTTTGCATAAAACAAGTAGAAAGCTTGCACAATATCTTTTTGCAAGAGTTAATTGCTTTGATGACAAGTTATAATTAAGAGCTTTTTGTCGAAAGGATTCGCCAAAATCTACCAAATGGAGAGGCAACCAAGCATTTCTATCATTCACATCCATTACTATTGTTTCCAAATCTTCCGCACAAAGCACGGTAGATTGTCGCATGTGTAGATAAGCAGGTTTAATTATCCTGTGAGCAGTTGATATTAAGGGGGGATTCAGGTTTTTCGGGTCAAAAAAATCGATTTTTTTTTTTTTACGGAATAAATTAGTTTAACATCTCAAGAATATCTCCAAAAAAATTTCATTTCAAAATTCGTAAAACT